AGAAAATTCATCTCTATTTAAAGCATATACAGTAAGGGGCCATTTATTGCAAAGCATCCCTCAGAATTTATTCCGCATGACCAAAACTTCACAGGCAGTCGTCAATCACGAGAACACCCTAAGTACAGTTCAAAATCCAGAGAAAACGTACCTCATCCTATACCTGCTCAACTGCAAGCCTTCATCACCATAGAATTGCTTTGTAGTGTCTTTAGCAACCTCGGCAGGACTCTTTCCATCTTTACCTGTGACAACAAATGAGACATAAAGTGTAATGCTTTCACATGGCTCGGTTCTTAGCTTAGAGGGGCCTCAACAAGCGTATTAATTGGGTGCATGACTTTAGAAAGACTGCTAAATAATATACCAAAAAAACAAAAAAAAAACCTAATACATAAGATTTTTACCTCAGATGTGAGGCACCAAATGTATCAGCAAAGCACACGAGATCATCAATGGTGTCAATCTCATATCCTTCCACGACTGCACGAGCATAAGCCATAGCTTGCTATTTCTGTAATAATGCTTTCCAAGTATCCATCACACGCTGAAGACGAACTCTACTTAGGACAACAAACAAATGCCTCTAGGTTATCACCAATATATTCATTGTAGCATGAGTAAATTTTCATTGACGTAATATGAAAGATCAGATACCTTGAATTTTCTCTAGGTGCGTCCCCATGATCTTCTTCTTCAGAGATTGACTACAATAGCCATGATAAAACTCAAATTAGTTAAAAGAAGAAATATTATTTACTGGTCACTCACTGTATGTTAGAAATTAGAATACCTTTGTGGAACCATTTCCCTTTCTTATATTCTTATCGGCAACCAACAAGCTTTCTGAAAATACAATAGGCTTCGTATGTAAAACAACATTTAATAAATTAGCAGAACTTAACATTAATTTATAAAAGAGCAACAACCGAACAAAGTAATGAACTATGGAGGTGTTATCAAATCCCACAATGTTAAAAAGAAAAGCCAATTTTTATTTTGTACCGTGCCCAAATAACATTTTATTTTCAAATGGAAATTGGATCACCTTGTTCAAGAAATATATAAACAAAGCAAGATTATATCCATAGAGTCCATAGTACCTTCCCTGGAATGTCCTGTCCCCTCCAACCTTGGAACATCAATAGTCTGAATTGAACTATCAATTTGCAAAATTTCTCTTTCAATTCATACAATCCGCTCGAGAATTTCAGGGGTGCTCACAAAGCGTACGAATATGCCAGCCACAAATAACAATAACAACAAAAATCATCTCAAAGATGCATTTTTAACACCTCAAACTAAGAACATTCTACAAGATTTCAGACTTTATCCCCAAATCTACATGCCAAACATTTCCACTGCTCGTCTTAAATGAACTAATCTATAACAAGATCGTCATATAGTTCACCAAAACAAAAAAATAGAAGGAAAATGACAAAAAGTTCAAAATCATACTAAAAGATCAACCGTGAAGAACCAAGATGACACACAAAAAAAGGACAGATTGAACTACGATGTTCTTAATCTCAAAACAACATTTGTATTTTGTCCTTTTAATTACCTCCGAAATGTGGCCTTAGTGAACCATGATATATTATCGGCTTTGGCCTGAGGCCGAAGGGTAATCGAATAGCCACCTTTTGGAATCTGATCTCTTGCAAATCTCAAGTGGGCTATGAATGGGTCAACAAGCCCGGATACCACTTTCTCACTCTTCTTCCCCGAAAACACAACAAGATGGCACCTTTACCAAATTCACCAAGAACCCACCGAAGAAAACGATGGAAATTTATCAATATTGCCAGTTATTCACCAAATTTAAGGATTAAAACAGGATATCACATAGGGACACACACTCTCTCTCTCTCTCTCTCTCACACACACACACACACACACAGAGAGAGAGAGAGAGAAACGGGTACCTTGTTCTTGTTGGGGTGAGTTGAAACTGCGCAATCGAGAAGCCTTTATGTCGGAGGTGAGGCGAGATGGTGCCGTGGTGTCGAAGCCTTCACGAAGGCACAAGAGACCGAAGTGAATTTCAGAAGTGAGAAGGGAGACAAAAAGGTCCGATATGATTGGCTCTATTATTTTCCTCGGATTGTTGCCTGGCGGCGGAAGATAAGAGAGGAAGAGAAGAGTGTTGTGCTGGTTAGGGTTTAAATGAGGAGTGAATGAGGGTATGTTTTGTGCCCTTTAATTTGCTTTCGTTAGAATTAACCAGAAGGTTGAGAATTTAAAAAAGAAAAAGAGAATAAAAAACATAAAAAAAGGAACTCAAAAGGGGCAAAAGGAAGGAAAACAAATTAGACACGTGTCGCGTGTTTAAAGGGTCACATATTTTCTTCTTAAATAAGAAGTAGATATAGATTATAGTTAAAAAATAAATTAAATAAAAAACTAAGATATCCCCCTATATATTAATCCAGAACGCGCTGAGCCTACGTGGCTGATTCTGGTGCTTCGAAATCCTATGTGGCAAAATTACATGCTTAGTTATTAGGCTTGGATAAATTTTAATTTAATTCCAAACCAAAAATAATTAGGTTCGGATTACCATAAATATGTTGATTATTTATAGTCATGTTACATGTATTAATTGCATTTTAATATCATTACTTATTATAACTATTGAACTGTATATATATTTAAAAGTTAATAACTTTTGTATTTTCTTCGATTTAACATCCATATTGTATGTATAAAAAAAATAATTTATATTTATCTTTATAACAATAATAAAATTATTTTTAATATTAATTAGAAAAATAAAATTATTTATCAACTAATATATCATTTCAAGTAGTTATATGATATAAGTTATAAAAACTAATATAATATAACACATGTAAGTCATAAGTAACACATATCATTCTAAAATATATAGTATTAATATATTTTTTTTGTAAAAATGTAAACTAAATTTAATATAGTTTTTTCATTAATTTTAAAATTTAAGAATAATTTTTTAGCACACACCCGTGTAATACATGGGTGTTGTACTAGTAAATAAATAAAAATAAATAAAAACTAGAGTCAATACACAATTATACCTTATTAATTTTTATACTTTTGTTTTTGTTAGTTTTTTTTTTTTTTTTTTNTTTTTTTTTTTTTTTTTGGTACAATGTTTTTGTTAGTTTTAAATAAAAGTATAAAATGGTCTTCGACTCTTGAGATTTGTAATTTATAACAGGTATAGTAGATATATATTGTTGTTAATGATTTTATTATAAAATATGAATCTGAATATACAGAAATCGGTTTGGACAAAATCAGAACAGATTTCCATATAATTAGATAATAAATTAGATAATAAATAAAGTCTTTTTTATTTTAGTAAAGATTTTACGTACGTTTTTTTTTACTTATCGGATGTTATGGTTTTTTTTTTTTTGTTAAACCAATTTTATAAGATATAATACAAATACAATTAGAGGATTGAACAAAATTAGAACAGATTTCCATACAATTAGATAATAAGAAGGAATTAGATAAGGAAACTAAGGAATTAGATAAGAAATTTTGAATATGTTTTTTTTAGTATAGATAGACTTTACCTACAAATTTTGACTTCACCAATTTTATGGGATTTGTTTTGACAAAATCGATGTTAATATGGAATAAAACAAATAAATAAAGTCTTTTTTATTTTAGTAAAGTTTTTACGTCATTTTTTAATTTATCAGATGTTCTGGGATTTTTTTTTATTAAACTGATTTTATGGGATATAAGACAAATAAATAAAATAATTAAATAAAATTTTGGATAAAAATAGCAATGTATTAATTACATTGACTTTTCAACCTACTAAATTTGGTAAATATGATACCTAATATATAAGTATAGATTATAGTGAAAAAATAAATTAAATAAAAACTAAGATATAAATAAATAAAAACTACCATACACAATTATACCTTAATTTTTATAGTTTTTTTTGTGTTAGTTTGTTGGTGGCATCGTCGGCTTGGACCAAGGCTTTTGGCGGGCTGATTTCGCGGGTCCTCTCCCTTGAGCGGGGTCCAGTGGCTTGCTGGTTCTTGGAGCAGGCAGCTGTCTCTGGTGTGGGTGAGTCGATCTCTCGTCCTTGGCGGTTCAGCGCCTTGGTGCCTCCCCTGGGTCATTTGCAGGGGACGACTCCATTGGAGTTTTGGAGTCGGGCTGTCGTCAGTTGTGGTGGGGAAGAGATGGGGGTGGTCAGTGGATGGGAGGGGCTTCGGTGGGCCGTATTGGTGCTGCCGGAGTAGGGTCTCAGGCTTCGTGCTGGTCCTTCTCTCCGGCTCTGCTGTTGTTTGGTAGGAGTCCGATGACCCCGAGTAGCCTAGTGGTGTTAGGTTCGCTTGGGGTGTGTCGGTTTGGGATTGCTCGTCTGCTTGTACCCTTAGTTGGTGGCAGATCGGCTCGTAGTTTGGTTCGGGGGTGGGGGTTCGGTTTCTGTATAGGCTTAATTGCAGTTTCGGGAGCTGTTCCTTGGCTAGGGGCCGAGCTGTGATCCGGTTGCCGCTCGTTCGGGATCGTCATTCTTTGCGGGAGGGGTGTGGTAGTTTAGATGTTTGTGTTTT